CAACCAGCTTTGCAATGAATGGGAAGGGAGGCGAGCAGCTGTTTCCTCCTCAGTCGATTCTTGGCTTGTTAAAACTGCCTCCAAACTGACGACCACTGAAGTTCTCCAGAACTGCAGGATTTTTATGAAGGAAAAGCTGGCATAATAGGGACCTGTGGAGCGAGCCACAGTTGTGAGCGTGCATTAGGATTAAGTGATCATCATCTTAGACCTTCTGGATCGGAAGCTGCAGTGACCCAGACATCTCCAATGTTTGAAGCTTTCCAGGTGAGGCTTTTGCCTCCAAAAGACTTAAAGCCACCTAGTTATCATGTTTCTTTTTTTCTCTTGCATTGAATTTTATTTTTCAGTGAAAGAGGGCTTAAGCAATTCTCCTTTCTCCCTTTTTTGGTTTTTAGTACAGATTATGTGCATGCCTAAAAGGAAAATTAGAGAGCAGAAGAAGATTTATGGTTGTTGGTTAAAGATTTTCCTCTGAATTCCTTATCTCCACGTGAATCAAAGCACATCTTATTCTAGCAACTTTATAACAATAATTCGTTAAGGTTTTTTACATTATCCTTTATCACAGTGAGCTATGAAGGTCAATTGAATAGTTTGATCTTTGTCATTTACCATGGTTCTTTTTGGGGATCTCACATTACAGAATCAAGCTACTGCATGTGAAAGTTCTTTTGATGGTCTTTTTGTACCATCCTCTATAGTTTAATATAACTTTAACAAGGTATGTATTTCTAAACTTTTGAGAGCCATCCTGGCTATGGCTGCCTCTTGTTTGACTTTCCATTGAAGTTTTCCCTGCTCTCTGGTAACCTGGAAACCTTCAGTGTGAGTGGGACTGACCCACTTGGGACTAGGCTGGGCCGAGAAGAGCAGGCTGGAAGGCCATAGGCTCTTCACAGCCCTCGTGCTCTTCTTCCTCTCTTTCTCCTTACCTGACTGTGGACCTGGGCCTTCACACGAGCTTAGACCTTTACTTCATTGAGGAGCTATCATAGTAGAGCTGTTAGGTCCTAAGAAGGACTGGTTCTCCATAAAGGTTTTTCTTTTTTCTTTTTAATTTTTATTGGTACATTTTTATATACATAATGATTGCATTCATCATAGGGCATAAAAATTTTTCAAAACCATTTTCTGTTGTGTTTAACCTAAGCTTTTGTTTTGTTTGTCTTGTGGATTAGATGATTTCTTCAAAGAGGGTTTTCATGGCTTTAGAGAGTAACACACAGTACATGACCTGCATGGGATCACCGGACACCTACAAGCAGATACCTGGTGTCCTGTTGGGTGGCACTGTCCTTTTATTACCCATTATCTTCCTAGCAAGGTAGTGTCTCCTAAGGCTTGGCCAAGATTTAAAGAAAGGCATCTACCCTCTGTTCTTGTCTTGTCATCAGAATTTACCCATTTGCTTCCGTCCGCCTGTTGCGTGGTAGAATACATTGGCCACTAACCTAAGCAAGTTTGGATGCAGTTCATCTCCACGTGAGCCCACTGGTATCTGTTCCCCTGCAAGAATAAAGCGTTAAGTCTCTTCTTCTTTTTGCCTACTTTTTCTACCTAGGAGCGTATGTATGATTTTCACGTCACTAGATAGCCTTCTAAACGCTGGTTTATGTGGCAGCCAGAACTTTATTATTGTGTATTTAAATTATTCTGAAGTTTTGTAAAAACAGTGTGGTGATGGAGATGTCTATAAGTATGAGCCTCACATGTCTGTAGAAAACCTTACAATAAATACTCATGGATCAAAACAAATGCAACTTGTAAAGCTTTTGATATGCAGTTCTAAACTATTCTCCATGGGGTCCTATCAACCTACCCTCCTACCAGCATTTTTTAAAGAGTTCTCAGAATCCTTACCCATTTATAAAAGATTATTTTAAAAAATTCCTACTAACCAGGTGAGAAAAGAGAAAACCCACAATTTAATTTGTATTTTGTTCCACTCTTTACGAATATACCTTTATACATTTGCTAACGATAATTTTAAGTTTAGTGGCTGTCTCATTTCCTAAGCGCTGGGACAAAATACCCAAAGGAGGAGAGTTTTATTTGGGCTCAGTTTGTAGAGGCTGCAGTGCACACTCGGGTGGCTCCACAGGAAGGCGGCATGGCAGAGGAGCGTGGTACAGGAATAGGGCTCACTTTTGCCCAGGGAGCAGAGGGCAAAGGGAGGAACAGCGGAGGAAGATAAAGCAGACCCTTCCAGGCCACGCTCACAGGGACCGACTCTTCCAGCCAGACCCCACCTCCTAACACCGAGTCAGCTCTAGCCTCTCTATCCGATCACTTTTCACCACTCCCTGCAGTGAGCACCTGAGGCTCTGGGAGACATCTAGATGTGAACCCAGACAGGGGTCAGGTGGGTGTATTCCGGAGACTGACTTTCCTCTTATGCAACTTGGGATAAATTCTTCTGCTTATGCTATGCCCACTCTGAGAGTGACACTACCTGCTTCACAAAGTCTGTACAAAGACTGAAGAGAATATCACACGAAAGGTGCCTAGATGGAACCACATACAGTAAGCCCTTGAAATGTACCTATCTGTACTACTGTGTTCTGTCATCTCTTCTTTTTATTGTCTGTGGGTGAGTGGTGGTCCTTTTTTTTTTTTTTACTTTAAAAAATATATAATGCCCATGTCAAAAAGCTAGAATAAAGGACCTTGAAAGTTTTCACCATGAAGAAAATGAGAAATGTTTAAAGAAATGAATCTATTTAATTTCACTTATGCATTATACATTATTTACATACCAGGTACCTGTTAATATGTAAAATGTTTAGGTATCATTTAAAAAGAAGTTTAAAATAATTGAAAATATAAACTAGCTTAATTCATTATCTGTCATATATCATAACTTCTCTCCCCAAACTATGGCTTTTACATTTGTTCAAAGTGAGGAAATATTTGAATATCAAGACATTCAGGCAGAGGGAGGTACAGTTTTGGTTCAGGCTGGATTTTTTTTTTTTCCTCACACTCAATCATACTACTAGAAAAGTCGCCTTCCCTGTCATCCAGAAAGTCTGGTATTGATTTTAGTTACAAATAGCAGAAATGGCACCTTAGCAAGATAACTTTTTATATTAAAAAATCACTATGATGAAGTAAAACATCTGCTTAATTTATGTAAATAATGACAATGGTGGAGAGATGAGAGGTCATGGCTAATATTGCACTATTTTCCATTTATCACTAAATCCAGTTTGTCAGCATTGCATTAGTGGTGCAGTATAAAATTAATTACTTCAACTTAAAAGAAGCTTTTAATTCTAGATCAAGATCCCTGGTATGTAGGGATTTAGCTCAGTGGTTCCGTCGCCTGCCTCGCAAGCACAAGGACCCGAGTTTGATCCCCAGTACCCCCCCAAAAAAAGATCCCTGGTAAATTGTGTAGCCACTGAGTGCTACTGCTCCCCCTTCTTAAGAATAATACCATAAAAGGAGACTTTTTTGGCCATAAAATCTCACATATACAGGTAAAATATTCTCTATATTGGCATATATACATGCTATTAAAAATGAGAATTATTTTTATCAAAGGAAAATATGAATGTAGAGAACATTATTTTGCTTCAGTAAGCAGGAAAATTACCAGAAATACACTTATAAAAACAAATTTTGCATGAGCTGTCAATTTAATTCAAAAAGCTTTTAAAAATGGGCCCTATGGTTGATAAATGAGAATGTGTTATATCACTGCAACAAAGCTGTGATTAAAATTTCCCATGTTTGCTTATTTTTTAAAAAGTTAACAATTCTTACCATTAGGGAAAGGAATAAACAATTTCAACTTCCTTTTTTCTTTTAGCCATTTTCCCTGTTGCCCAGGCTGGGTTTGAAACCATAACCTCAAGTGATCATCCTGCCTCCGCCTCCTGAGTAGCTGGGACTTATAGGGATCTGCCATTGCCTCTGGCTTCAACTTCCAATTTTTATACTGTGCTTCCTTATTAGATTTGTCTGTATTTTGTTGTTTTACTTCACTCATGGTTTTACTTTCACATTATCTTTTAAAAAAGCTATGCTTTCCATGATAATTATCTGAAGCGTTAAATGCACGGGATGCACAGGGCACTTTAGAGTTGATTCCAAAGCCTTGAAAATTGTCTTTATTCAAAGGTCCCTAGATTTGCAAATCTTTTCTTCTTTTTCCTGTGTGTGTGTGTGTGTGTGTGTGTGTGTGTGTGTGTGCTTGCATCTGTTTTGATTTATGATGATTGGAAAAGTAAACCCAGAAAAAGATACTGTTTCCTGAAGTAATATAAAACTTTGAATAGCTGGTTGAGTCCTGTGCCCCAGCTGTGTTACTGAACTGTAGAAGCCCATAGGTCACAAAATACAGCCGGGATCATGGCTTTCAATCGTATTATTTCTTTACTTGTAAGAAAAATGTCATAGAATGCTTAGCTCCTAGGCATCAGCTACACCCGGGAGTAAAGAGCTAGGAACACTGAGTAGAATACTTCCTGATTTTAAGCTTCGACTTCCTTGAATGCAGATAAAAGTGACTTTCACTGGAGCAATTTCATCTTTCTTTTTTGTTGTTTTTATCTTTTATTAGTACATGTTTGTAGTGCAGAGTGAGCACACTCCTCCATGGACTCGATGCATGTACAATACACGACTTTATTCTTTTTTATCCCCTTCCCTCCTCCATCTCTTCCGTCCCCTTCCCATTTGCAAAAGATCTATCTTCCTACGTCCTAGTTTTTATTTTGCTCTTTAATTTATTTATACTTTGGGGTTCTCCTATAAGAGAAACCATGCAATACTTAAGCTTATGCGTGACTCATTTCGCTTAACGTTATGGTCTCAAAGTGCAGCCATTTTCCTACAGATGATTCAAATTCACATGATTATCCTTTATGCCACAGCAGTACTCCATCGTGTGTAAATGGCACGTTTTCTTTAACACTCAGCTGTTGGTGGACATGTGGGCCACTTCCAGGATTCAGCTCTTAGGAACTGTGCTGCTGTGAACATGGGTGTGTATGCATCGCTGTAACAGGACGTCCTTAACTCTTCGGGAAGACTCCTAGAAGGGGAACGGCTGGCTTTAACCTTTCTTTTTCCACCTGCAGGCAAAATGAAGGACCGGCTTGCAGAACTCCTGGAGTTGTCCAAGAGCCATGACCAGCAGTTCCCAGACGGGGACGATGACTTGGACGTGCCCCAAGAGGACATCGTGTTCGAGACGGACCACCTCCTGCAGGCCCTGTACCGGGACATCCGGGATATCCAGGAGGACAACCAGCTGCTGATGGCCGACGTGCGGCGGCTGGGCAAGCAGAACGCCCGCTTCCTCACGTCCATGCGGCGCCTCAGCAGCATCAAGCGCGACACCAACTCCATCGCCAAGGCCATCAAGGCGCGCGGCGAGGGCATCCACCGCAAGCTGCGCGCCATGAAGGAGCTGAGCGAGGCTGCCGAGGCCCAGCAAGGCGCGCGCTCGGCGGTGGCGCGCATCTCGCACGCGCAGTACAGCGCGCTCACGCGCACCTTCCAGCAGGCCATGCACGAGTACAACCAGGCCGAGATGAAGCAGCGCGACAACTGCAAGATCCGCATCCAGCGCCAGCTGGAGATCATGGGCAAGGACGTCTCGGGCGAGCAGATCGAGGACATGTTCGAGCAGGGCAAGTGGGACGTGTTCTCCGAGAACCTGCTGGCCGACGTGAAGGGCGCGCGCGCGGCGCTCAGCGAGATCGAGAGCCGGCACCGCGAGCTGCTGCGCCTAGAGAGCCGCATCCGCGACGTGCACGAGCTCTTCCTGCAGATGGCCGTGCTAGTGGAGCAGCAGGCCGACCCGCTGAACGTCATCGAGGTCAACGTGCAGCAGACGCTGGACTACACCGGCGAGGCCAAGGCGCAGGTGCGCAAGGCCGTGCAGTACAAGAAGAAGAACCCGTGCCGGACCGTCTGCTGCTTCTGCTGCCCGTGCCTCCACTAGCAGCTGCCCCAGGGGCCGAGCCCTCCGCACCCGCCCCTGAACTCGGGGGAGACGGCAGCAAAGTCGCCTGAGGCGCCGACGTGGTCTGTGGGGTCCCGCCTGCCTCTCGCCCCCTAATGGAGACCCCCGGGAGGGCGCGCTGCTGCATCTGCCGGGGCACGGACTCTTGTCTACAGGGACATCTGAAAACTTCCTTGGTTCTGTCCGATTTTGAATGAAATTGACCGTGGGGATATTGGACATTTTCCTGATTCGTCACCGGATTATGCAATGTGATTCCGGCCTAGAGATAAACCTGTTTGTTTTTTTTCTCACCTCTACTTATTGAAATCACGTTTAACACAATATTTTCTTATCTCTGACAATATCTTCTACTAGGATATACTCAGGAATTATTTTTCTAAGTATTTTTAGCACCTCTACTTATTGAAATCAAGTTGAACACAATATTTTCTTATCTCTGACAATATCTTCTACTAGGATATACTCAGGAATTATTTTTCTAAGTATTTTTAGCACTTCATATTGAGGAAGCATTCAGGTTGAGATACCAGTCACATTTTACGTATTTTTCACGTTATTTAAAATTTGTCTGTTTACTTCATTGTGTGTGCACATATATATGTAACTATAAATATTAATATTCACTAACGTGTGTACATAACGGCCAATTGGCTTGGCTTTACCTTTGTAAATGTGCTATATAAATATCAAGAAAAACACTTCTGGGTTTTGGTGTTGTTTTGCTTGTTTTGCTTATTTTGCCTTTATCTTGCTCCAGCCTGAATATTCTTATTTCAGTTTAGGTCAAAACTTTATTTTTAACAATCTTGCCTTGGTTGTGTTAGCAAAGACAGGTATCAGAATCTGAAAATATATACAGAACTGGAGATAATAAAATTATGTTCTCAAAAATAGTTTTTTTTAACTGTAGACCATTCCTTTCACACAATAAGATGGAGTCATTTTAAATGAAGTAGCTCTATTTTTCAAGTAAGCTTAAATATCACATTATAAATAATCCCTTTTATACATTTGTATCTTGCCCATTTCAATCATGCTCAGTTTAGTTTTTCAACAATTGTTAAAACTTTTTCTACCTAGGTACTTTGAGGCTACAGTATCTGGGTAGAATTCTGAGCAAAGGGGGAAAAATGATAAACTCAAGAAATTCATATAAGGGTGTCTCGATTTCTCCTCCCAGCTCCAAAAGCTTAGCAAAATCATCCCATTTTAGAGCTCTGATTTGATCTGCAAATTTTGTGATGGTCTAAGCTGCAATTGTCATGCGTCCCATCTTCCTTGTGAGCCAACTCTTAGCTCTTTCTACCCTAAACTTAATGCATGAGCAAGTTTTAGTCATATTTCTCTGGACCTCCAGAGGGTGGAATTTTAGGAAGATGAGAAAGAGGGCCTATGACCTCTTTGAGGTTCACTGCCAGAACTACTCATGCATGACCAGGACAACCTAGCCCTGTACTTAATTTTAATTTCATGGTTCAACATGAGAATTATGGAAAGTGTGTCCTACCATACTCATCAGATTTCTCCTGATTTCTCCCTCAGCTGATGCAAAGGGCATATTTCCCTTTTGACGTAATTCCTTTTCCCTAAGGGAGGGGAGATAAAGTGCACCTCCACTGCCACAGTTTTCATTGTAGATAAGAGACGTTGCAAGTGGACACTGCCAGCTCCTTCCTGCAAGAAGGAATAGTTCATAAACTCGATGCTGCAAACCATCATAGAAGTCAGTGAGAGGCAGATTCTGTCTTTTAATTCCTCATTTTACCTTGGAGAATCAAAGGCTGCGCTTTGCTAAGAGCATGAGTGGACTGTTGCCTTCAGAAAAGCAAAACTTTTCTTCCTGCTGCCTGGTATCCACCTGAGCTGGCATAGTGCTTAAGGGTGCTCTGACACCTACTAGTTGTTTGAGTTGAGCACATTACTTAAGCCTCAGTTTCCTCATCTGTCCTACAGGGACAACAGGACCTACCTTAAGGCATTACTGTCAGGAGTGAATGACTCTAAATACAGAAGCATAGAAAATGGTACCTGGTACTACAAAGTGTGCTCGCAGTTGCTGCTACAGAACATTTCTTTGCCTGAGACTCTTGCAAGTTAATAGGTGTTACAGTTTGGAGGGAAATAATTTATTCTTCAGTTAATAGCTTTTAATAAAATGGATTAAAAAAAACAGCAAGATTCTATCTTCTCTGTGATCAGGGCCTTTTCCTCTTATAGTAATAAAACTTTTCACAGTGGTGTTTCAATTTCTCCGCATATTCAAACATATTTTGAAGAAGCGGCTTCCACCACAGACAGGTAGCAGAAAGAAGCCGTTGTGTTCTGCTTGATTTTAGCAAGCGCTCTCTCCTGCTTCTCCCCAGGATGTGAGTCGGGAAGTGCTAGATGGAACCCCGGGCAGTTATGGAGCCTGTGTCCTAGACCCGTGGCGACGACATCTCCTGGCCCACATCCTGCCCTGTGCCCAAGCCCATCTGTCTCTGACTGCCATGCCAGGCAGTCGATAAAATGCCAGCCTTTTCCACGTTCACTGAGAGATGCTGAGGGTTGGCTTTCCTTGACCCTGAGGCACTCACTGGCAAACTCTGAAAGGTGCCTTTGGGCAAGAAGAAGGACCTTGTGGCAATTCTGCAGATATCATACACTAAGGCCATTTATTGTGTGAAATGAGAGGATCAATGACAAAGAACAAGGGAGCCTTAACAGCAGAAGGTGGAACGCCTTTAAAGCAGCTTTAACACATATGGTGACCGCTTACAACCTGCAGGATGCCCATCCTGAGAGCCCTAGTGAAGTCAGGTTATAGGTGGCGACAACTCCAAAAAGGTCAGAAATAGGACAGGTGCTCACTGAAGATGTTGGTGTCCAAGATACTATGTTAGGGTGTTTGAAAGACTGATCATTAAAAAATTTGAATTGTGAAATCTTAGAAGTAATTTTATGGCCTTTGAAGATAATAACTTGGAAAAAGAGTATACTTTTCTTACCAGTGCATTCATATTTATTTTTAAAAACAGCACCTGTACTTTATAGTTAAGTGTCATGTGGAAAAAATATATATATATATTGGTACTGGGGATCAAACTTGTGTCCTTGCACTTGTGAGGCAGGCAGCAGAACCACTGAGCTAAATCCCTGGCCCATGTGAAAATATTTTTTAAACTGTACCATACATAGTTAATATTTTTAAAGGAATCTACTGAAGATTGTGTGCATCTTAATAAAATGAGGAAACGGTGATTTTTTTTTACAGGAGAGCTATTACAAATAGAAAAGAAATAGGGTCTAGTACATAACTTCATCATCACATAAATGTCGAGTGTCTTTATTGCCAGCACACATTACAAGGAATGGACAAGCTTTTGTTGCAAAGGCTCTATGTTTACTGGTATGGAAAAGGTTTTCTGAACTGGCTTTCTGAATGAAGTTACAGAGGCTGCTTTAAAACTAGCAACATCCTACATTGTGGAAAGTGAGAAATAAGTTTCCTGAGTTGTCATTTTTAAATTTTTGAGGCTTATTTTAAAGTACATTTTCCACCTCATTTTAATTTTAAACATCTGTCCAAGCCACTTCTTAAGCATCTTCTATTTTTCCTATACCTCAACACTTTCATGGTCTGCAGCCAACTGCTGAGATGTCCATTAGTCTGCATCCTAGCATCTAACAACATCTGATAGGGGTAAAACAACGGGGCATGTCTGGCTGGGTGCGGTTCACGGGCTGAGCACTTGCCTAGCATGTGTTAAGCCCTGGGCTTAATCCCTATACTCCTCACAAAATAAAAAACAGCAGAACATGTAAAGTTATAAAAAATTGGTGATGAACAATGCAGTGAATGTTTAAATTTCAGTGAAACACAGAGTGCCATTAATCCTCCTCAAAATACCCTCCCTCACTTGGAACACACTTATTGCATCATTCTTGCCCTTTTTTTGTTTGTTTGTTTATTTTTGAGACAGGGTCTCACTGTGTAGTTCAGACTGCTCTGGAACTCACTGTGTAGCCCAGGTTGGTCTTGAACTCACAGCGATCCTCCTGCCTCAGCCTCCCAAGTGCTGGGATTACAGGCGTGCGCCACCACACCCAGCAACTTGCCCATTTTCTGAAGCAGGTCTGAAAATCTTTTTTTGTGAGTGTCTTTAGGAGGTGTGATTTTTTTAAAAAATTCAGTGAGTACTACTGCTGAGTGCCTTCCAAAGGAAAGGCAGACTTGTAAAAGCATTCCAGTGTGTTCGTGTCCACCTTTTTCCTTGGATCTGGCACCAGGAAACTTCTAGCTCTTCCCCAAAGTCAGAATAACACAGGGTGTTTCCTTTCAGGATGGCAGGGCCACCTGTGAGCCACAGCCTGGGTCACGAGAGAGGATGGTGCTCTGTGTCCCTACCTGAGAAGATCCAAATTCAAATTTTAAAGTTTAATTTCTACAGCATGCAGATCGCTTTCACAGCATTGTAAAGCTGAAAAATAAATTGAACCACGGTAAGTCAGAATCATCTGTATTCATTCAACAAGAGCTCCTCATTCCCAGAACCTCAGGCACCCACCATTCTCCTTTCTCTCTGGGAGTTTGGCTATCCTTTTCAGAAGTGGAAATCACACCGTACTTGTCTTTTTGTGTCTGACCTATTTCATTCAGTAAAATGTTCTCAGGGTTGATCCATGCTGTAGCATGTGTCCAAATTCCCTCTCTTTCTAAGGCTGAAGAGCATTGCATTGTGTATGTATTCAAAATTTTTTTACCCATTCACCCATCAATGGACGTTTGCCTGGACCCTGTGGCTCTTGGGAATAGTGTCATCATCTGCTCAGAGATCTGGGACAGCTGCCTCTTGTTGGGATAAAACCCTAGCTCCTTCGAGAGGTGGTCAAAGGCCCTGCAGGACCTTCATCCTGCCCTTTTCATCACAGACTCCTCTTGTTCAGCTCTGGACTTTCTGGAAGGTTATTTCCCTCCAGGACTACTTTTCTTAACTGGGCCCCTCCGTTCATGGAGGTTTCTTGAGAAGCAGACTTGGGAAGGAATTCAGTGGGCAACAATTTTGTTAAGGGTAGTAGCAGTGAGAGAAAATGGGGACCAGATTGGGTTGAAAGCACTGTTCCACTCCAAGGCAGGGCCGCCCCAGTGAGAGGAGAGAGAAGGAAGGCACAGCAGAAGTGACCCAGACAGCCACTGGGAAGTCTTGGAAGCAGAGGTGACCATCACAGGCCGCCACCTACTGGGAGACAGGAGGATTTCAGAGCGTGTCACTCCCCCCATACATACTCAATTCTACTCTGGTAGATGGAGCTCCATGAGGTGGCTTCCTGTGGCTGGCCTTGTCCCTTCTCATTTTCCTAATGCTTTGGCTCAATTTCAGAGATTTCTGCCCAGTCTGTGGACTCCATTAATTTTACACCTGTGGTATGACAGAAACAAGGCAGAAGGGCATAGAGGAGGAAAGCTGCTGACCTTATGGCAACCAAGAAGCAGGGAGGGAAAGAGCCAGAAAAAGAAGGGGGCCAACAAAAAGAATATGCCCTTTAAGGTCACATCCCCAAGGACCTACTTCTTCGGACCAGGCACTGCCTCCTAGACAATTCAGCTGTGGACTCCTTGGTGGGATGATCTACCAGGGAGGTTGTACCCCCAATTCATGAGTCTTGGGGAGTACTGTATATTGAAATCATAACAACAACCAGTAGCATCTTGTTCGTTTTGGGGTCTTAGCAGTTGAAATAGTATCTTTTGTATAATATGCTTTTGGATATTTGTGTTCTCAATACAGAAA